AGCTGCTGGCCTCCCCTGCAGACTTTGGAATTACCAAGCCTCCACAATTACGTGAGCCAATTCCTTAAAATAAATCTGTCTCTATATATGAACACCCTGTTGGTTCTTTCTCTGAAGAATCCTGACTAACACAGCAAGGACGAGGAGAAATTGGCGGTGGAAATGTAAAGTGATCTAGCCACTGTGGAAAATCATTTGGTGGTTCCTTAATTAGTAAAACAGAGTCACCATATGACCTGGCAATTCCACTCCTAGACATATACCTACAAGAATTGAAATCAGGTGTTCCAACAAAAATTTGTACAAGAATGTTCACAGCAGCACTACCCAAAAGGTAGAACCAATCCAAATGTCCAACAACTGATGGATAAATGTGGATTATCCATACACTGAAATATATTCGACCATTAAAAGGAATAAAATTCTGACAAACAAGGATGAACCTTGAAAACACTATGCTGAGTGAAAGACGCCAGACTCAAAAGGTCACATATTGTAGATTCCATTTATATCAAGTATTTAGAACAGGCAATGTCACAAAGAGAAAAAGCAGGTTAGTGGTCGCTGGTGAGGCGCAGGTGGGTAATGAGTGACTGCTTAGTGCACATGGGGTTTCCTTTTGAGAGGATGAAAACGTTCTGGAACTAGATTGTAGTGATGGTTGCACATGATGCGTGTACTAAATGCCACTGAATTGTATGCTTTTAAAATGGCTAAAATGGTAAATTTATGTCGTGTATTTTGCCACAATTAAAAAAAAGATTGTTCACATACACACAGAAGGATGATTCATGAATTCACTAACGAACAACTCAAAGTTGTGGAAATGAACTTTTCAAGTTAAAACTAAAACAGTGACGCGAGAAGTAAAGATTCTAAAATAAATCGTGTGTAACCATCGCGATAAATAAGCAGGCTTGTGGAATTGGATTCACAGTGCACCTTCGAGTCTCCTACTGCCTGTTGAAAAATCCAGTTTGTGGGAGCAGTGCATCCCCTAACTCGAGAAGAAAACTCAGGCCTCCACAACTTCTCTAGTCAATCTTATTTAATAATAATAAATCCCAGTCACTTAAGGTAAAAAATAGTCTCAATTCAGAAAATGTCCACTCTCATGTTATAATCAAAATGGCTTATTATTTGAAGCCGAGGCTTCTCGGCCTGCTGCAGGTGAGCAGCCGGCATCAGGAAGGGAGGCCTCCTTGTTTAATAAGGTTTAGGACAATGGGAATGAGGAAAGGAAAGCAAAGCAAGAGAATAGCCTTATTTAGGTGCTGTGGCGACTGGGCCCTGGCTTGGCAAGAGTTTAACTAATCCTTTCTCACGTGGGCTCCCCCAACACTCTTCAGAGTGGCTCATCCTCTCCCTTCTCCCAATCATCCCACCTTTGTCCGCCATCACCAGGGATCTCGCAGGGATGGTGCCTGTGTCTCTGGCTCTCTACTTTCTGCTCCTCTCTCAGCATGGCAAGTCAGAAGTCCACCTCCTTGAGGATACCCATGCCTCTTGGTCAGGTTCGGAGATGACCCCGTGTGGGTTCTCTTGCACGTAGCTGGCATCTGTTCTGCAGGAGGCAGGCAGGTCTCCCCTGCTCCAACTCTACGAACGGAGGCTGCACCCAATTCAGCACCCCCTCCCTCGCTCCATCATCAAAGCACCTACCAGCCACTGTATCTTATCCTTCAGATTTTTCTAGACAGGGGTCTAAGCCACTGGATCATCACCCTACAGAGGACACATATTAAGTTCCCCTGAGGCCCTTTTTCATAGCTTTAAAGTAAGGCGCAGGTGGCATCCAGTAGCCTCCCTTAGGAGGCTCAAAACATAGATTCTCTTTAAAGAATTCTCCACCAAAAATCCTCTTCAACTCTGACTCCTGACTCTTTTACACTCTCAGTGTGAATGAGAATATAAGGGGGCTACAGGTTTTTGACCACCTCCATTGTAAATACAGCATATGGTATTAGTATGTAGTATCTATTGTTACCTCCCAAACACATCTATTTTAACCTTTGGTGCATTTAAATACCTATGTTCATTACTGAATTTATTAACAGCTACCATTGAGGCCCTAATTTGTCCCAGACTTGGCACTAGGCCCTTTTTCAAACATCTCATTTAAAGTTAATAGGTATGTTTGTAACTACTTTGATTTACCATTTTTATATTTGAGGATTCATGCAGATAACTGGCACTTAAAAATCTGTGGAGTGCATTATTAATAAGACTTTTGGTAGGAAAAAATATTCTGAAAGCCTCATCACAGAATTTCAGATCTGGAAAGGGCTTCGGAGATTAGTCAGCCTCATTCATTTCCTTTAAGAAGCTGCTGAGGTCCCGAAAGGCTGAGGGACTTGGTCAAGGTCATCACAGTGAGAGATCAGAGATGTGGGTCATCACTTCCCACAACTGCCTTTAATTAGTAAAATATATTAGCTAAGTTCTGAGTCATACTGCTAATTTTACTATTTATCAAACCAGCATTAGAAACAAATTTTTAATGCAAAATAACGATTTCAGCGTCTAAAAAACTGAACTGGGCTTCCAATACTACATAAAGCTGCATGAATCTCAATCTACTGTACAGGAGAATAATAGATTCTTAATTGAATCTGTGCCTCAGAGTGGAAGAATAATTTTTAAATGGATAAATCCCACGGAGGTGGCGATGAGAAATGAGTTGGGACAGATGACTGATCCTAGGAGAAAGAAAGATAGCAAAGCAGGCTGGAAAACAGCTTTTTCTTAAACATCTCAAGTAATCCAAATGCAGATTGTTTGCACCCAGCTCCCACTGTCTTTAATCCCACCTTCTGAGTCTTGGCACTGCCTCGTGTTCTGATCCTTATCGATGACGCTCTCTAGAGTTTCATACATGCTCTATATATGCATATATTATATTATTCATCTAACAAATATTATTGGGAACCAGGACATGCCATCCAGTGTTCTCAGACTTCAGTCCTGCATTCTTCTCATGCAACACGATTATAAGCTTTTTGGGTTGGCAGGGAGCCTGGAAATAACTCGGTCCAATACCACATTTCAAAGATAAGAAAATTGAGGCCCAGAGAGAGAAGTACCTTGCCCAGGAAGGTTACACGGAGAATTAATGGCTCTTATCACAAAAGTTAAGCATTTTGACAGATTCATGAACTCTTGGGTAGTTCCATCTTCCGTTCTGAGGACTTCGGTCACATTTTGTAGCCAGAAGTGCTAATTAAACCAGAGGAATTATGGACTTACTATTTATAGGTAGGAGCGAAGACATTAACTAGGCCATGAAACCTGGGGACAGAGAAGGAGATCTGGTCTCCTGAGATCCACATATTACATTCAACCTTTATCTTTTAAGACAGAATTTGGATAATGCATAGTCTCAACTTTCCTAATTCTGGACTTGATTCGCATTTAGTCTTGAAGGACTGCAGATACCACAGTTTTTGCATCACGAGATCAATGGGTAACCCTACTTTTTCTGGCAAATGCTGCCCTCGCCCAGTGGAAAAGTTAAAATCATCTTTCTAGATATCAATTACTTCAAAAGGAACTATTTCCAACCATTTTTCCATTATTTTGAGTTTTAACCAATAATAGTCAATATGCTTTCATTAAATTTAGAAGTGAAAGGGAGAAAGAAAACCCATGAAAATGTTTTTAAAGGCATACCACTTGAGTTTGAATTATCTCAAATTTTTCTTTTCACTATTCAGACTGGTTTTCATTGTATTGCCAAAATCAAATCTCTTGGGCCAAGTGGTGTGAACAAAAGCACTGAAATCAAAGAATTTCCGAATTTTAATCTATCAGAGACTGTGTCGTACTGGGGAGTCATTTAACCTCTCTCCACCAGTTCCCACTCTGTACAATGAGGATGAAACTATGGAGGTACCTCTCCTGGGTATTGTGTGGATTGGCTAATTAAAGCTAATTAAGCCCCTGGAAAGAACCAGAAAATACTATGTAAGTGCTGAGTATTTATGGGCCACTAAGAGTCACAAAAACTCCTAAGGGACACAATTCTGTGCAGACAGCACAATCTCTTTTGGTGATTACTAATTACCCACTGCTTACAAAGAAAGCTTTGGGTATTCCATAACAGGGTAAAGAAACATCACACGATGTCGTCCAACAACGCCATCTTTATTCAAAAATATATATCTATGAGACATTTCAGAATATACTGCTGTCACCAATGACAGCCTATACTTCTAAATAAAGTCCTAAATTAATATACAAATTTAAGCTTTAAAAATATTCTTTAAGAAAAAAAAAAACGAAGGGAAGATTGAAGACTTTCTGAGGAATATGACCTAAAGGAAAGGTCCTTTGAGGCCTGTGGATGCCCTAAGTAAAGAAGAAAAAAACACGAAACAAAACCACCCACCCCACCATGGCCTGATCACCTCATACATACAAGGAGAAAGAGTCACTTAAATTAAACAAATGAAGTAAGCACACTTGGGGAGGATGTGAGAGAAGTAAAGATTTAAAAAACAAAAGCATTTCATTTAAAAAAAACACAAAAACCAAAACTAACTTCCTCACAGGAAGTCCACTAGTAACAGGTGTTAAGAGGCCAACATGTTCATTTACATAATTCCTACAGTTTCATTTCCTGCTCTAGCTGTAATGATAATTATGCACCAATTGCTAGTCAAAGACTCAATCAGATAAAATACAGCAGTGGGCAAAATCCATTATAATGTTTCATCTAGCTGACCAAGAGCAAATATTTACTATACCCTTTTGGTTGGTTTGTGGCTAGTAAAATTTTGCTTCCTTGGTGAAAGCAAGCACAGAGAATGTCCAAGGATCTGTTCTGAATAAGTAGGACTAAAGCAGCACACCAC